TGGGTGGGGAGGGGGTGAATACCTGGCTCTGAGCACTCTCTCAGGTGGGGACACCCTCAGCCTCTCCGTGATCACGTTCCTCTTTTCCTCAGGTCGGTGTTACCTGTACATGAAGACCATAGAGCGGGCAGCTTTTCCGCGCCGACTCTGGGAGCGGGTGAGTTAACAAGCGCAGGGCACTATCCAAGGTGACTTACCCAGGAGCAGGGAGCTCCTGCCAAGAGCACACATCCCTGCTTTGCCACTGCTCCATAGCTGGAGCTCTCCCTCCCTGCCCTGCCCAGGTCCTGCTGAGCAAGAACTATGAGAAAGCGCTGGAGGAGATAGACGAGAACCTCATCTACTGGCCGCGCTTCATCCGACACAAATGCAAGCAGCGGTTCACTAAGATCACGCAGTACCTTATCCGCATCCGGAAGCTGACGCTCAAGCGACAGTAAGTGACACAAGAGTGATCACATCGGCTTGGCTCATCCGGCCGCTGGCTGTCCGCAGAGCCCTGGAGCACTGACCCGTTTTTCTGAGGCTTTGGCAGGATTGTAAGCGTACCTGGCTGAAACGGATCTAACTGCGGCGCAGCCTGCCTGCTGAATGCACCGAGACCAGCTGCAGCCACATTTCTAGCGATACAGCTGCTGCTGTTGCCCCAGCTGAGCATTTGCTCATCTGCTATGCAAGAGGCTGACAGACTACAGTTGTTAAAGGTCTTTTCCAGCCTAAGAGATCCTAGGATTCACTAACCAGCGCTTGTTGTTCCCTGTAGGAGGAAGCTCGTGCCCTTACGCAGAAAGATTGAAAGGCGAGAGAACAGAAGAGAGGTAATACCACTCCTTCCTGTAATCTCCTGGCTACTGCTTCTGTCCCACGTCTTCCAGACAACTGACACAGCTCCTCTTTGCTCCATCAGGAGAAAGCCCTGATTGCCGCTCAGCTGGAAAATGCCATTGAGAAGGAATTGCTGGAAAGACTGAAGCAGGATACGGTAAGGATCGCTGCCTTCGAGCGCAGCGGTGCTACTGCTGCTGCTGCTCTCCAGGGAATGACATGGGCAGTGGTGTGAAAGAGAAGCACCACCCGCGTAGGGGCATCGGGGTCGACTGCCCGCTGCCCTCCTGGGGCGGCTTTGTAACTGGCTGGAGGACGTGCTTCTGCAGAACGCAGAGCTCCTTGTTGTCTGTACGCGAGCGCACACCTCAGAATTAGGGAAGGGGCTGAAGCACAAGTTCACCCTAGTTTGACAGTGCCTCCATGCAGGCCCTAGGCTTTAGATGACCCTACCACCAACGGCCGCCTTCCTCCCGCGACTCACAGAACATTCCCGTCTTCCTTTTCAGTACGGAGACATTTACAACTTCCCCATTCACGCCTTTGACAAAGCTCTGCAACAGCAAGATGTGGAAAGCGAGAGCGAGTCCGACGCGGAGAAGGAAGATGAGGAGGAGGTAAGGCCACTGTTAATCCTTCCCCAAGCTGGCGCAGCCCCTCCGATTCACCCGCGTGCTGGGCGCTGCAGCGTGAATGTCGGGGTGAGGAGAGGAGATTCGGAGAGGCGGACTCAGAACACACGTGTGCGAGCGGTGGCCTCTTGCACTGCGAGTCGGGACGCCGTACTGTGCTCAGCGCGTGCGTGCTAGCTTCCTGCTTTACTTTTCAGGACATGGATAAGAGAGAGTTTGTGGAAGCAGATGACAGCGACCTCAGTGACTTTGAGGTAGGTGAAGCACCAGGTATAAAGTGTCAGGCTAAGCTGTTGGAAAGCAACCTCCACCCTCTTGGTGTCTCTGGAGGGGTGAGAGCCAGCAACGTCGGGTTTTGCGGAAGATAAAGGCGCAGTCAGACTGCACTGTATCCACGTCTCCCCAGCTCCTCTGGCTAGGCAGCTGGGAGCCAGGAACAGTAAAACGGCATCGGATACATGAGCTAAGTTTGTCGAGAGGTTTAGTTACAGCGTGCTTTGATGTCACTCTTGTCTTTCTCAGGACATGGATAAGTTGGAGACAAGTAGTGAAGAGGAGGAAGAAGTAGAGAAGAAAGCTGCTCACTCCAAATCTAAGGGGAAAACTCCCCTGAAAGGACCAGCCAGAAGAAAACGTCCCTACATTGAAATAGAGTATGAAGAAGAAACAGAGCCAACCAGCAAAACAAAAGCAGCCTGACTCCCTCCGGAGCCCACGTTTCCTACGGAATGACCGGGCTCCAGCTGTCAGCAGAACTCCTTCCAGCTTCCGCCACTCTCTGCGGGACCCTGACAAATTACTCCTTCTGCCATACTCCAGGCTGACCATTTTCTTTAGGAAAAGAAGGGTTTCTGTCCCGACCCCAGGCAACCGTGGGAAGTTGGCACAGCTCCTGCATGAAGCACAGTTTTAAGGAAGACACCACCTTCCCTACAACCACACAAGGCTCCACTCAGACTGTGCTCCAGGCAGGAACCTGGACTGGGGGCACTGCTGCTTTGTTCGAAAGCGGGAGAAGCCCGCACGTGGCCTGGCAAGCACCCAGCCGTGTCTTGTGTGGGGAAAGGAATGGGGCTAACTGGGGTGGGATGAGAAAAACAGTAACTTTAAATAAATAAAACAATTTCATTGTACAAAAAGCGGGGTGAGCGTTGATTAGCCATGCCTCACGCGTCCTCTCGCACTTTCCTGAGGCACTCCCGTACGCGGTTCTCCTCACAGCTGCTGTACACACCTTCCAGCAGAACCTGAAATGAGAAAAGAACCATTTCCAATGCCGTGGCTCACTCAGGTTCGTGGTGTTACCAACCCTCCGCCAGCTCCCTGCGTACACAGATACCTGTCGATACCTATCGAGTCACTTCTCAACCAAGTACTAACACTGAGGTGGGTGGGAACCGATGCTTTCAAATTACTGCTGGGTTGAGGAAGCAGGCGGGCTCTTGCATGCGCCATGCTGCCCCTTCTAAGGGGGAAGGGATGGGGTGAAGCAGTGCGGGGTCCCCAGCTCACCTTCACCTGCCCTTCAGAGCAGCGGTCCAGCAGGATGAGGCATTCGGTGGCCCCTTGGAACAAGGTGGCTTTTACTGGCTCTGGCGTTGAACCTTGGTCCGTGTGTACGTCCCAGATCATCTTCAGCAGCGCTTTGAGGAGCACGGGGAGTCTGCATGGCATTCTGCAAAGGGAAACAGGAGCTGCTACTTCCCATTTACCTGTGGAGCGGGATTGTAGTGGGATGAGATGAGCAACTGCCTCCTTCAGTTTGCTCACCAGAGGGAGGGCATGGGCCCCGAACACAGGAAAATTCAGGATGCTCTGCCAGGAATGAATTGGGGCAGCCCAGCTCACAGCACAGGGCTTACTGCACAGTTCTGCCACGCAGAGAACAGATTTAGTTTTTAAGCCACGTTGATGCTTCCAGAACAGGCAGACATCAGATCAAAATCAGGACCCAGCTTAACTTTCAGGCTAGGTTTTTCAGCAAAGCAGTGATTTGGTGATTGCTCCCTTTGACAGATTCTCCCTTAGGATTTCAGAGCCTTTTCTTCAGTCAACAGTAACTTTGGCTCTGACAGCGTGACAGCAGTCAGGATACGCTTTCTACAGCCTCTCTCACCCCCAGACACACCTAGGCCAAGCGTGCTCTATGGTGCATCGCAGAGTCTCCAGTATTCCCAGTCGGGCTTCTTCCTCAGGGCCATCACAGACTTCCAGATAGCCCAGGATAACCCGCTCCAGCCTCTTCAGGTGCCGCACTATCAGGATGCCAAGCCTGCTGACACGAGGAAAGGCACACTGAGAAGGCAGGTAGACACCAAGGCCAAAGCACATCCCTGCAGGGCTGCAGTTGCTGCTCTCACCTCTGCACAAAGGCAGGCAGGGTCCCAGCGTACACCCGCCGCAGCGCGAGGCGATGCTCTGCTTCCATGTGGGTCAGAACCAGCTGCAGCACCTCATCGCAGTGGGCGGTTGGCCGGGCCTGCTGCTGCTGCCGCTGGGCTCTCTCCAGGATGGGCAGCAAGTCCAGCAGGCACAGCAGCACTGCCTGGTTGGGTGTGAGACAGTAAGTCTGAGCAATCCTGCCAGAGTCCTTCCCAAAGCACCAGTAACTTCCAACCCTGCTGACCACCCCCAGTTGCTGCAGTTCACCTGAGAGACCTGACTACTTCTACTCCCCTGTGACTGGCCCTTTTCACCTGGAATGGGCAGGAGGCAAGAGATCTTCCCTCCACTCTGAGATCCTCCTGATATCTGCTGAGTTACTCTCTCCTGGCCACAAGCATTGGCTATCCCTCACAGGGCTGATAAGCACTACCGCAAGGCAGATTAAAGTGAAGTTCTGCTGTCCTACCTGGATGAGAGGGGCCTCTCGTGAATAGAGATGGTTGTAAAGGGCGTGATACACAACCTGAGCCCTGTTGAACTGGCAGAGATCAGCAGCTGGCTGCAACAACAGAGAACAGAACGTTATTCCTGTGCATCACATCCAGCATCCGCTCAACCTAATGAGAGAGAACAGCCTTCACAAACCCAGATCTTATAAAAACAACCCTCACACATGCATTAGGAACACTGCTTACAAGAAAGTGGGAGCAGGTGCCATACGAAACGCAGGTTAAACCCTGCCATGCACAGGAGCACCCACTTTCTTTGCCTCCCCAGCTGCTTGCTGCAGTTCCACTGGTGTTTCTTTAATACCCTGCCAGGCCAACCGTTCTCAGGCCAACACGTGAATTGGCTGAGCTCAAAAGGTGGCAAAGAAATTCTTTGCCTCATGGTAACAGATGTAAGAGCTACACGTATTTAAACAGGAAGAGTGTGGAGGATGGAGCAGAACTGCTACATGAACAGTGGAGCCAGGAATGTAAGTTAAGAATCTAACAGGTATCTAACCCATCCTTCTTTCAAACAACACCCAGAAAGGGCTCCAAGTCCCTTACCACGTTGAGAATGATGTGATGCAGGCAGCGCACACCCAGGATTTTATTCTCCTCCTGGTAGTCATCCGAGATGAGCAGTGCTGGTGGGAGGACATGCTCCAGGTAATGGCTAAGCCAGGGCCGGGTGACGTGAGGCAGTGTCCAGGAGAACACGTGCTTTGTGGCAGGGTTACGTTTCCAAGTGTCTCTGGAAACACAAACACAAGCTCAGGGAACACTGGAACTAACGAATGCTTGTTTCCCATGTATCTGGGCCTCTCAACTGACAGTATGCTCCGACTGATCCCCTCCTCCTCCACCTTCCATTACTGAGTGAAGTTCTTGGCCCCTTTTTTATCATCTAGTGTCTTGTAATGCCTGAGCTCACACAGTTTCCCCAAAGTTTCCAGCACTTCCCACACCGAGACCAACCAAACACACCACCCACTCCATCACTGCCTCCCCCTTCCTACTCACTTGGTTAACTCCTGTTTCAGGAGCCCCATCACTGCTGCGAATCTTCCTTCCTCATCTTCACTCTTGCCCCGAAGGAACTCGGCCACCGACCCGCAGCCTGCAGCCTGAACCAGCAACGCCAGCAGCTCCTGTGCCACTGACCGAGACCTCGCGTTTGTCCAGGGCCTCTCCGCAACATGCGTTGCGGCAAAGATGTACATCGGTCCCATCACGCGGCGCAGAACCGGACCCACCACGGGGACACCAAGCGACTCCTGGGTCTTGGCAGCTTCCAACTTGGCAAGGAGGTGCAGAAACACGGAGCCGACAT